CGCTGGGCTCGAACCCACAGACCACGAGATCATGACCTGAGCCGTAGTCAGACGCCTAGCCAACTGAGCCACCCAGGTGCTCCTCCAGATATTTTTTTAAGTTTATTTTTATTTATTCTGAGCAAGCAGGGAAGGGCAGAGAAAGAGCAGACAGAATCCCAAGCAGGTTCTGTGCTGCCAGAGCAGAGCCCGAGGCGGGGCTCTAAATCACAAACCATTAGATCATGATCTGAGCCAAAGTCAAGAGCCACTCAACCGACTGAGCTACCTAGGCACCTCACCTTCCAGATATTTTTTAATGCTTTCACATACATATATGTATTTCCTTGGAAAATATGTCATTCTGGCTGGTGTGGATTTTCTTTTTTTTTTTTTTAAACAACTGACAGCATTCTTATGTTTTATTTTGCTGTTTCCTTTTTTTCACTCAACAGTTGTTTTTTTATTCTATATATGTTGCTCTATATATATCCAGTTCATTTCCTTTTATTAGCTGTTCTATCATATGATACAGTTGACAGGTATTTGTTTCCTTTTTGTTGTTGTTGTTCTTATGAATGTTCTGTGAATATTCTTGTACATTTAAGAGCAAAAATTTTAATAGCACCAACGTACCTCTGTGTGATTTTTCTTCAAAATTATCTGCCAGCCTGGGAATAGCAGAGGAGAGAGCTGATAGTTGGATTCAATAAAGGATTAAGATTTTTCCAGGTCATGGAATGCATATCATCAGCACAAAGAAAATAATGATATTGTCAAGAAAAAGATTCAGGTGATAGGCCAGGAAATCTGTATAGTGAAGGATTTATAGAGACAAAGAAGCTGTTAGGAAAGAAGAGGAGACAAATGAGTAAAAGAAAAATGTAATGAGAAAACTCAGTGAGAGGTTAAAGGATAAGAAGTTGCAGCAGTGAAATTATTTATTTATTTATTTATTTATTTATTTATTTATTTTTAGAGAAACAGAGAGCACACGCGAGCAGGGTAGGGGACACAGAGAGAG